TGTGTTAAATAATATCGTGGGAATTCTGCCTACAACGTGTAAAATAAGGAAACGAGAAAATCGTACCTTCCGGATGTTCCGACATTTTGTTACCAAAACGGTTCGTTTTGGTAACCAGCGTAATCGAGTGGATCACCAGTGCAAATAATAAGAATGGTAACCAAATAATTCATTATTTTAGAAATATCTAGTTTTCCTGAAATAAAGTGTGGCCTTTGAGGATTTTTAGAAAATTGACATGACAAGGAACGACATGAGCCAGAAATATTCTAAAATTGAAACAATGTTTTGTTGGATTGCTCGCTATATATGATTCTCTCTTTAACCTCAACTAGGGAAGATCCAAAACACAGCTGTTATTGATGAAAACAAGCAGTTAGAGAGTATTATATTGGTTACATTGTCTCTATGGTCTAATTTAATGAAATCTTCCACCCACTCACTCATTCTTTTGGGATTACAAAACTTACTAGGCTAGTGTAATCATGTGGTAGAGCCCATGTTTTGCATTGGAGAGATGATTGGCTTTATGATATTTAAGATTAATTACAGTATTTACAATTAAATTGAATAAAATACAGTGTAATCTTTTTATTAGACAGATCTTATTTATTTCAATATGCAGGCCTGTCAACTTGGGGACACCTAACATGAGTGACTTGCAAATGTTGAACACCTTTGTTCAAATTTTGGACACCTTGGTCCAAATCTGAACATCTTGGCCACAATTTGAGCACCTTTTTTCAATTTTATTGCATTTAATCAAATTTAATCAAATCGCGATATCGTCAACGGGGGGGGGGGGGGGGGGTAGGTACGAAAATTTCCAATTAACATGCGTGACACATACGGGATTCGCGAGACAAATTCGAACAAATTGCGTTCAGTTTTTTCCGACGTTCGTATTTTTACCGTATCGTCAACATATTTTGAAAATTTTTCTACAGAAATATTTTTGCGTGACAATTACCAGGTAAAATGCGTATTTGCGTGACATTTTCTGTCACGCAAAAAAAACTGGCGTGACTTCAAATTCTTCAGCAAATGCGTGACAAATACGCAAATTGCGGGACAGTTGACAGGCCTGAATATACCCTGAATATCTCTCTAGAAAAAACTTCTGCTCTTACGTGGAAAAAAATTTTTGGCCCCTAAAACAGAAAAGAAAATTTTGAGGCCCATTTTCTTCAAAATTTGGCCTGATATTAAAAAATAAGGCCTCACAAGGCCCAGTAATGACCAAAAAGACCCACTTTTTGGGGCCTTGAGACTTTTTTGCCCAATTTTTTCCTTGGGCCCCTCCAGCCCCCCCCCCAGATCCGCCAGTGCAGTGGACTTAAAATAGGAGAAATTAATCCACAATTTTGATGCTTAGAAGATCTTCATGACCCCAAATATACATGTAGCTGTCATGGTCTTTAATTAGAGTTTCAGTCAGAAATGATTGCCAAGTACTTATGGAAGCATAAAAGTTAGTGAATTCTATTTTGATTGGGTAGCTGTATTTTTATCGGTCTTATTCTCAGTATTCTGATTGGTTTAGCCAGATCAAAGGATTATCTTTAACTTAAAAAATGATTGAAATAAAGAAGGAACAAAATATTTATGTATTTAATTTTACTTTACCTAACCTTTCTGTGTACCTTAAAACATTTATAGTATATACAGAGAGAGTTTATGATGAACCTGTCATTCTATCCCTCCTTGTCCCTCCCTTCCATTTGTGCGTTCTTCTGTCCAGGCAATAACTCAAATACTGGTTCCTGGATTTGGATCTTTTATATGCTAATGCTTGATTGGCATTAGACCTCTGTTCAAGAAGAAATTACCAATTCTGCTTGATTCAGAATGGTTGCTATACTTGATAAAGAATGCAATCTTTGATAACTTAAATTCCATTTGACAGTTTTTTAAAAAAGGTGGAATATTTTATAACTTTGCCAGTTATTGGATTTGGCCCTTTCGAGATGGTTGCTGATTTCAAAATAGCATTCATTTGTCATGAGAAATATTTAACAACTTAAACAGCAAATATCAGGTTTGGTCCAAATTTATAGGCCGATTAATGTCGATGGTGACTTTGGTTAAATATGTTTTGTTAGGTGGGATTTGCTACTCCTAGGAGGTGCTCTTTTTCTTGTTTTTCAATAAATATGGGGTGTCCCAAGATAGATGAGCCTCAGTTTATAAAAACTATGTTGATATATAAATAAATGAAGCATTGAGTGCTCATTTTTATTCCTCTTCATCGGTTATTCTATTCCTTATAAGGTTCTGACACATGCTGTTCAAATAATCTAATGATATCAGTTGAAATTATAATACACAACCTTCTCCAGTACAAGGTCATTATTGTAATGACCCTCGATAGCAAGTTGCTAGTACAACCCAGGCTGTAGTGGCTTGTTATGCTACAGCTCCTCAGAGGTGCCCATGTGTTGTTTCATTGGTGTCTGATGTGGGATTTGCTCTTCCATATATTCAGGGTTATGATGAGGCATTGTCATTCAAAGGGGGATGGTGTAATGACCCTCAATTGTTGCCATCATGGCCCAGCTGTAGTGGCTAGCCCTTTATGGCTCAAGCGGTAGAGCATCATACTTTGGAGAAGGTCCTTTGCTTGATTCCTGCACAGGGCATTGAATTTTGCACACTCCCTGTCACGTACAGTATCTGGCTTGTTAACCTCAATTCCCCAGAGGCACCCATGGTGTCAGAAGTGGGATATTCAGGGTTACAATGGGGGTTTGTCATTCAGAGGGGGATGGAGGGTGGTGTAACCCTGATATGGTATGGCTAGTCCTTTATGGCTCAACAGGTAGAGCATCGGACTTTGAAAAGTGACAGTTTTAATTAAGCCTTAGGTATATAGATGTACACAGTTGTGTGACACTTTGGCAAGTATGTGACTGTTTGGAAAATGGCGGCCATTTTTATATGTGTTATTTTAGTATTTTACTATTACTGGAACAGTAGTGGAGCAATTTTGTTGAAAAGATGGGTATTGATATGGCGAACTTTTTGAACACACATTTCTCTTAAACCAGTCATCAGAAAATTCTGAAAATTTTACAGATTGTCAATTTAATGGTCATCTTTTGAATGGTGACAATATAATTGGACAAATGTATATATAATTTCATCTATATTGTTTTAGAAAACACATCAAACGCTTGTTTTGTTCTTGATATCATGTTTCCAGAGTCAAATGAAACATCTTTCCGAACCTCATTGGAACAAAACGGCATAAACACAACATGTTTAGGTCTCTCAATATTGTAATTGTACAAAGGAGATTTTGGTTGATTTAAAAAAAGTATCTTGTTAATGAAATAAAAGGTTTATCTTGATTTTTATCTATTTTGGGGGGATTTTGTTTTAATTTTTTGAATACTTTTTTAAAATCAACCAAAAATTCCTTTGTATAACTATAATATTGAGAGGTCTAAAAACATGTTGTATATGCTATTTTGTTCCAACAAGGTTTGGAAAGACATTTTATTTCATTCTCATGAATTGGTAGAAAGGAGCAAAAACAATTGCACTAGAAAAACAAAAAATATTAACAAAAACAGTTATATAAAATATTTCTAAATAATTTTCGCATTAAATTGTTGTCAATCAGTCAACATTACATAAAATACCGTGTTTTTTACAGAATGTTTTCAATGATTGGTTTAAGAGAAAAACATTGTTGAATTCAGTTCTCCATATCGATACCTATCCTTTTAGATATGCATAAATACCTTGATGAAGATTACACTATCTAATGAGTATTTGGCTAATAGGCATTTGCTATGACTTGGCGCTGCTCTTTTTAAGTCAAAGATCAACTCGATCCCCAAGTGCATCAAGATAGCATGCGTCATTGTAGTTTTTATATTTCACTCATTATTAACCCAAATTTCCTCATTAGATTCAGGTCAAACGTAAGTTAAAAAACATACCCTACACAATATCAAACTCCTCTGTTAATTTCATGAACAAAAGCTACACATCCGTTTATGATTAATACTTAATTTTTGAATTGATACTTATTATTGATGCGTTCATTAAGTGGAGGTAATACAACTCAATGAAGACTCTTTATTGGAGATGAAATTAATTTGTAGTTTGAAACTTGAGGTTTTCGACAGATTGCATGAATGGTCTCCACACAATGAAAGTAATATACGTTAAGTAGGCGCCTCAAATGCCTCATACTTATATAAGATACGATGAAATCAAATTAATACATCTAATGCAGGGGACTTTCTGTTTTTTGTTATTTGCGTAAGCTTTATCAGTTTCATTATTATCCTCATGATGTTTCAACACGGTATGGAATATAAAATCTAAATTTTTTTAAAACATTTATAATTTTTTCTCAGAATAGTATTGAAAGAATCATATAAGCTTCAGTTTCAGTTTAGAAACATATTTGAGGATAAAAGGATAATACAGACAGGGCATTACCATCAGCATTAAAAACAGTCAATCCTTGGAAAGATATTGGTAAGTTTTAAGAAATACTTTTCTTAGCAGTCAATGAGCATGTGTTATGCAATCGGTTTAAGTTCAATTTTTAAAACTCTAACCATAATGCAATTTTCAAAAACTCCTTTTTATTTTTTTAAATATGGATTTGCTAATTGGATTGGTTTATTCAGAAAAAATCATAAGATTGATATTGTTAAAATACAAGAAATGTATAATTCAACAGAAATTGAGTGGGGGAAGTTAGATTCAAGCAGTGGGAGTTGCTGGAGTGGGAATTCTTACGATAACCTTATAAGGCAGTTCAGAGGATTGTTTTGGGTTACAAGTTGATTTCAGTACAATTGAAAGTATTCATTTGTGAGTTGCGAAAGGTAATTACATTTAGCCTAATTTATTTGCACCGAGTTGGACCCGAAAAAAAAGTGAGATAATTTGAGCTTGCAATTGGTAAGTATTTTATGAATTCTAAGCTCAAATATTAGGTTTAAAACATATATAGAAGTTGTGCTTGTATATTCAAGTCATATCACATATACTCACATCAAGTGTTGACTTCACATATGTATTAAAATAACGCCACATTGTTTTCCAGGTTTGGTAGAACATGTTACATTGAAGTGTCTTACTTTAGGAGCACCAATCAGGAAACAAAGAAAACTGCTGAAAAGACAAAAAAGTGACAAATTAATATTTTACTAGGTAAGTAAATTGGTATAGAACCTTCAGTATTCTATTTTATAGAAGCCTTTTATTATAAATTATATGTTTTTTATTCAAGTACAAGGGAAGGAAATTCAATGTAAGGAAAGGTAAGTGTGAGTAAAAAAATTATTAACACTTTTTTATGCCATTTCGTAGAAATGCAATTAGGAAGAAAATGTTTTATTAGCTGGAGCCATTTAATTTGAATAACAAGAATAATTCCAAATTTGTAATACATTTTCTATTTTAAATAGGGAGACATTCCAACTGATTGATGATTTGAATAGCAAATTATTTTTCAAACCCTTGTAAGTTCTAGAGATTAATAAAAACAGTTTTCAAAGTTTTCAAACAAATTTTGCATTTTAATTTTCCCATTTGTTCTCTGCTGTACTCTATATAAGTGAATTATTTAAAGCATTTAATGAATCAAATTAATTAAAGATAACAATATTGAAGAATATGACGTTTTTAATTCATTTCACAAATATTTATAATATTCCCAGCATAGGAGATACGATTGTTATACCTCTGATACCAGAGTTTTTTAAACATAAAACTTAAATATTGTATTGGTGTGAGTCGATACATTACAATATAGATGCAAGTAGAAATAATCCTGATTTAAGTCATTTAATATTCAAAATAGACAAAGTGATATCATATTTGAGATCTACTTATGAAGGTACATTTAAAGTCCCCATATAAAGTTTAAATCACTTAAGCTTATATTACCCAATGCTATCAAAGTGTTATATGTGAAACTTTTTTTTTTAATTTCAAAAAGTGGTTTTTGAAGGACTTGTGAATTTATTTAAAACTAACTTTTAGAGGTCGCATGTATCTTTTAGTAAGCCACGATTGATACCAATGCAGAGCATTCATCCTCGCATGTTTTTTGCCGAAGAAATTAAGAACTCAGTTCATAAATAAGGGAGAATGAACTTATCAGTGCATGAAAATGGTTCAGTAAAAATGCATTTCAAAACATAATATATTCTTCCTTTTGACCTGGTTAGACAATCAACATTAGTTTATTATTAAAGTTTAGCTTATTTAGAAAAGATTGACATTGAAAAAAAAATTTCAATTTTTTTTCAAAAGGTTTTTGCCACCTGAGTGAGTCATAATGACATCACTAATGTTGCAAAATATTTTTGCTATGCTAAAACATTGAAGTGGCCCATTGAATATGGCATTTTATTAGTGTGTCCTCTGTTCAATCGTTGCATTGGTGTTAAAAAGATAATCTTTTTTGAAGTATGAAGAAATATTTGATGAATTAAACATTTGGACTTTGAGACATGGATGGTGCAGACAACCCACTGACATGTTTTTCGGAAATGTTGTCCTGATTTTCAACCCCTTCAATTTTTGTTGCATCGATATGCTACATTTTGGCACACATTTAACCCCTTTAAAGGAATAAGTAATGCCTTTAGGGGTTTTAAAGATATCCATTATGGGTGACCAAAATTAAGTTGAAGCAATGGATCGCATGAGTTTTCCCTATGGGAAAATAACATGGGAATCCAACATATGACTGTTCGAAATCTGTTGCGCTACTTTTCATCCTCCTTTCAATTTTCTTTGAAAATGTGACTTCTAGGTTGGGAAGATTCTCCCTAAGAGACCCTATTATATATGTATGTTGTAAACTTATGAAAAGTGAAATATCTTTTCTTATATAGGACATATGTATTGTATAATTATTATGTCACCACCAAAAGTGGTGACATATTGTTATGGTCTCCGTTTTTTTTTATGTCACCACCAAAAGTGGTGACATATTGTTATGGTCTCCGTTTTTTTTGCGACGGCGTCCGGCGGTTGGTGGTTGGTGGTTGGCGTCCGGCGTCTGTAACAATTTCTTACAACTTCCTATAACTTAACAAATACTGTTTAGACTGACTTCAATTTTTTTCTAAATCATCTACATGTTCTCAGAAGTTCAAATCTGACTTTAGATTTGACATTTGACCTTCAATGACCTTCTCAAGGTCAAAAAGGTCTTTTTTCAACTTGCTTCACATTGACTAAATTTTTTTTCAAAATCATCTACATGTTCTCAGAAATTCAAATCTGACTTAAGATTTGACATTTGACCTTCAAATCTGACTTTAGATTTGACATTTGACCTTCAATGACCTTCTCAAGGTCAAAAAAGGTCAAAAAGGTCTGTTTTCAACTTGCTTCAAATTGACTAAATTTTTTTTTCAAAATCATCTAAGTGTTCTCAGAAATTCAAATCTGAGTTAAGATTTGACTTAAGATTTGACATTTGACCTTCAATGACCTTCTCAAGGTCAAAAAAGGTCAAAAAGGTCTTTTTTCAACTTGCTTCAAATTGACTAAATTTTTTTTTCAAAATCATCTACATGTTCTCAGAAATTCAAATCTGACTTTAGATTTGACATTTGACCTTCAATGACCTTCTCAAGGTCAAAAAAGGTCAAAAAGGTCAAAAAGGTCTGTTTTCAACTTGCTTCAAATTGACTAAATTTTTTTTTCAAAATCATCTACGTGTTCTCAGAAATTCAAATCTGACTTAAGATTTGACATTTGACCTTCAATGACCTTCTCAAGGTCAAAAAAGGTCAAAAAGGTCTGTTTTCAACTTGCTTCAAATTGACTAAAAAAAATTTTCAAAATCATCTACGTGTTCTCAGAAATTCAAATCTGACTTGAGATTTGACTTAAGATTTGACATTTGACCTTCAATGACCTTCTCAAAGTCAAAAAAGGTCAAAAAGGTCTTTTTTCAACTTGCTTCAAATTGACTAAATTTTTTTTTCAAAATCATCTACATGTTCTCAGAAATTCAAATCTGACTTTAGATTTGACATTTGACCTTCAATGACCTTCTCAATGTCAAAAAAGGTCAAAAAGGTATTTTTTCATCTTGCTTCAAATTGACTAAATTTTTTTTCAAAATCATCTACATGTTCTCAGAAATTCAATAATGTCTTTAGATTTGACATTTGACCTTCAATGACCTTGTCAAGGTCAAAAAAGGTCAAAAAGGTCTTTTTCAACTTGCTTCAAATTGACTAATTTTTTTTTTCAAAATCATCTACATGTTCTCAGAAATTCAAATCTGACTTTAGATTTGACATTTGACCTTCAATGACCTTCTCAATGTCAAAAAAGGTCAAAAAGGTATTTTTTCATCTTGCTTCAAATTGACTAAATTTTTTTTCAAAATCATCTACATGTTCTCAGAAATTCAAATATGTCTTTAGATTTGACCTTCAATGACCTTCTCAATGTCAAAAAAGGTCAAAAAGGTATTTTTTCATCTTGCTTCAAATTGACTAAATTTTTTTTCAAAATCATCTACATGTTCTCAGAAATTCAATAATGTCTTTAGATTTGACATTTGACCTTCAATGACCTTGTCAAGGTCAAAAAAGGTCAAAAAGGTCTTTTTCAACTTGCTTCAAATTGACTAATTTTTTTTTTCAAAATCATCTACATGTTCTCAGAAATTCAAATCTGACTTTAGATTTGACATTTGACCTTCAATGACCTTCTCAATGTCAAAAAAGGTCAAAAAGGTATTTTTTCATCTTGCTTCAAATTGACTAAATTTTTTTCAAAATCATCTACATGTTCTCAGAAATTCAAATATGACTTTAGATTTGACATTTGACCTTCAATGACCTTGTCAAGGTCAAAAAAGGTCAAAAAGGTCTTTTTTCAACTTGCTTCAAATTGACTAATTTTTTTTTCAAAATCATCTACATGTTCTCAGAAATTCAAATCTGACTTTAGATTTGACATTTGACCTTTAATGACCTTCTCAAGGTCAAAAAAGGTCAAAAAGGTCTGTTTTCAACTTGCTTCAAATTGACCAAATTTGTTTTTCAAAATCATCTTCATCTTTTCAGAAGTTCAAATTTGACTTTACAAGTTCTCAGAAATTCAAATCTGACTTAAGTTTGAACTCATAATATTGTGAGCAACTAGGTGGTGACATTTTGTCATGTTAATGCCTTGTTAAACTCTAAAATGTTATATGTTATTAAACTTCAATTGAATCTATTGAAAATTCAAGCTTTCGGAAACTTTCCCTTTATTTACCATGGTCTGCCATGTTATCTGACCCGTTTTAGCCACCTGGTGGAGAAACTGGTAATTACCTTATTATCTTTGACATTTGAGTAAAATAGTTTACTAAAAGACAATTCATTTATTGTCTATTACACAGATTATGATACTCAAAACCTTTTATAACCACAATGAGAGAGGTCTTGTTCATGCCTTTTAGAACTTTCTCATTGATGAAACAACTGATTGACAATTATTATATTGTGGTTTCCATAACTTCTAATTCTTATCTCTCAAAGTCAGATAAGAAAAGGCCTGATGAAACACAATATGTTTTAAAATGGGTTTGGGGAAACCAAAGAAACCATGAAGAATGCCACATACAAGAAACAGGATATTAACATGTCCTTATAACACCACCACATGTGATGAAATATTGTTTTATTCTCCAAGTTATTCTGGATGGTGTTTGGCAGTCACTGTTCAGTGTTTGGCATTCAAAAGTTGTTCATTATACAAAGTATGATGCTGATACAGGTTCTATTTTCAGATCTTCAACTTCTGAAATATAATTTGGTTACAGTGGGGATTGAAGAGTTGGTTTCTTTTGTGATAATTGGTTTAAAAAGGTGGCAATGATGTCATGTTAGTCACCAAAATTAGTTTCTTAAATCCTCATAGGATTTCTATACATAATTGTCATAAATCATTATTTTTACAATAATATGGTAGTGTACTGTAACACTTTTTGCTTGCACAGCTTTTAAACTCATAAAGGACAGTTGGCGGTAAACCCCTCTTTTAGCCCCCCTACAAAACAAGTATATATTGACATGGAATTGAAGAGGAAGTACTCTTGACTTATTACTTAAAATGTTATTTCTGAGAATTTTGACATTTGACCTTGACATTAGGGTGGTTTAAAGGTCAACTTTGAGAGATGCTAT